ACGGAGCCCTTGTGGTGTTTATGTGTTTGGAGAGAAATCCCAAATAAAGGAATTGGATACTCGGCTGACTTTATCAACATCCCACATAGCTTTTGTGATGCATTGTAGCCGCAAAGCATCTGTTTGGGTTTAGCGACAACGACGTACTGATCCAGTCCGAATAGCAATTTCTGATCTCCGGACATTCGGTCCCAATTAATGACGAATATCCCGAATATTCGGGATTGCCAGCCCTAATCAGTGCATCATTTCATGCTGCATTTCTATTGGTTAGTTAGCTGACGTAGGTCGCAGCAGCATCACACTGTGAGATGATCACCCCAAATTTCTGACACTGTCAGAATTTTATCGCAGGTTGTCTTTTGTCGTAACACCAAGACAACGGCCGTCCTTGAACCTGTCTCACCACCGATTTAGATCCAAGACCAAAGATGTCGCTCACGATTGTTGTCTTTCGTCTGGGACGGCTGAAAATCGCAGCGGACTTTAGAGCTGAAAATGAAGTTTGATGACGCTCTCAAGTATTGACATTAACTATGTAGCTGAGAGCTGTTAGCTTAGCTTAGCATTAAGACTAGCATCAGGGAGAACCGGCTTGTCTAAATCCAGCTAGTACTGTTTGGTGGCTAACGTTACGTACAAGTTCTCATAATGTTTTAAAGGATGGGATGTACAGTAACGTCATAGAAGATGGATGGAAGGATGTTGTCAAGACCACAGATCATGTAAGAAAAGAACGTTCTCATAACATTAGACAAAAGGTTCCCAAGATGTTATTGAGTCCTATGAAACCTTCCTGTGTTGTAATATACTGCCAAGGATGGAACATTTTTGTGTTTTGAGGAGGTTCTACATCACAGAACGTTCTTTAATAAAAACATTACCGCCAACATAACAAAGGGACGTTCTCAACGCAACATTCGGAAAACGTCTTTAGGGATGGCTATGACCTTTAAAGAGAACATTCTGGGAACTTAGATAAAAAGATTCCCACTGGCAACATCACGAGATCTTTCTCAGAACATTCTTAGAACGAAAAACATTCAGATTCTGTTGTTTGTTTAACGACTCGCTAATGAACAAATTATTTGATTCGTTCGAGTGTTGTGACGCCAATTTGCCATTTAAACTTGAGAACTATTTTAGACAATTTTGTCTGTTTTCTGTCCTTTTCTTTAGTTTTATATTTATCGTACAGATGTGAATGTGCTATCAGAAAGCAAACAATACTTTTTTTATCCCAATCTTGATCATGTTTGTGTTTAGGAAGCGTATAATTATAGTTGGAGGATCCAAAAACACGCATTCTGCAAGTCTTTGTCTAGCGATGGTGCTAACAGTTAGCTTCTGTACTGTACTTTAACAGATGGGATGCATGAGTGTCAGCAGATAGCGTCGTAGCTTCTACATGTAGAATTAATTCACTTCATTCAGAATCCTAAAAACACTGATGCAGCTGGGATTTCCAAAGTTTGATTTAATGCAGTGAAGCTGAATTCCATGCGAACCGAATGATTTGGAAAGTGGATCACAGGATTTACAAAATGTAGCCGTAATTTATCTGGAGTGTAATAGGGAGCACATTAAGGGTTTTTGAAAGATCAACGACAGCTATGATGGATTTAATCAAACTTGGCCAACTAGAAAAGTGAAGAAGAAGAAAAGCCATTATTCCGCGCCGCGATTTGGCTTGGATGTCGAAGCATAAAGAAAATGCAAATCGAATCCCTCCAGAAATAGACTGTTTTTGTGCTCGTAAGAAGACCTATAATCCGCCGCTGAATGCTCAAAAGCCAGGACTTTGCAGCTCTGCTTTCAGCGTTTCCACCAGCGCGCTCGGATTCCTCCGAAAGTCCTCGCGTTAAGCTGTGGGCAATTTGACTGGTGAAAGCGGAAGTACTTTTTTTTTTTTTTTTGCATGATGTCACAGTCCTCATCGATAATTCTCCGTAACACGGCGTTACATCGCGCTCGGCCGCTGAGGGACGGTTATCTCCCTCAGCTGATCCGCTTCCAAGAATGATCCTGATGTGACATTACGTAAGAACGAGAAGGCAGAGCTGCCGGCATTAGAGAACACACACACAAAAAAAAAAAAAAAACTCCAGAGAACATACTAATCTCCCTACGTGATTATTAGTCATAATATTTAACGCTGGCTTAATGAGCGACCCATGGCGTAATCTCTATCTGGCACATTCACCTGCTCCCTCCTAACCCTCCTGACTCGCCTTTGAGGAGGGTGCTGGGGGAGCGAAATAGAATAATTATGCGGGAGTGTGCAGGGAATTACCCCGGAGATGTGAAACGGGGGGGAAAAAAGAAGGTTATAGTTGAATAGCTGTGTGGAAAATCTCAGGATTAGCTCAACTTCTGCTTCATTTTTTTTTTTTTTTTTGGTGCAAATGTTTAATTTCAGCCCACTCGTGTGTAATTATTCCGTAGCTATACAGAAGCAAAGCTAATATATGGAAAATTATGAGCTGTTAAGCAGAAACAGTGGGACACAGTGGGTACTGACATTCACACTGACTACAGTGGTGGTTTTTTTCCCCTTTCAATGGCTACAAGTAAAAGTTCTTGAAGTGGTTGGGAAATTGATTTGATTTAAAAGTTCATTATGCAAGTTTTTATCAGCAAAAAAAGAAGCCCTAAACAACTTTTAATTGTCTTTCAATCTAGAAATCTGCTGGGATACATAAGCTTCCACACAAAGGGTTTTGATATTCAATCGAATGCAGCGTCGTTTAGCATGCAAATGAATCACCGGGCTAACGAGGCTGAAGGCCCCGTCTTAAAGTTTGTATGTTTGCCCCGCGTTTTTAACGAGATCAAAACTGGATCGGTTTCTGAATTTCATTTGGCGCCTTATCGACGCACAGCAGCGCCTCGACATTCTACACATTTCTGTTTGAAAGCGTGTAGGCAGCGAAACAAAGCCTTGATATTCTGAGATCTGAACAAAAGCTTCGTGTTTGTTCCCTTGCAGTGAGAAACAGAGGCCTTAAGCGACTGTTATCTCACGCGCGCTTTTTTTTTTTTTTTTTTTCCCGGAGATGAAGCGAGCGTTGTTCAGTCAGGCACTTGGTGAAAGGCTTTTGTTTCAAAAATAAACTGTGTCACAGTAATGTACATGCCAAAAAAAGGCCTGCTGAGACTGATGGCAGACGAATCGAGTGATTGTTGAAAGAGTCTCTCTGGCGTGATCTGGCACATTTTCTCAGGCAAAGTTATCGCATTAAAACTGGCAGAATCCACTTATTGACTCTCTTGATGAGAGTTCAGATCAGTTCTTCTCTCATCGTAGCTCAACTTGACAAGTTAAGACTTGCGCTGCATATTCAGTTTGAACAAGTAAGATGTAAAGTTAATCAGCGGTGCTTTATTCTGCTGTTATTTCTGTGACATGTGGTTCCTCGAGGAACCGCTAGCTGAAGAGGTTGCTGGAGGAACCTTATGAAAAGGGTTCCAGCACGATTTTTTTGTAGAATTTGCTGTAGACCTGACACTATACGCCTGCATTTACACTTAATTTTAGTTATTTTATATTTAAAATGTAGTTTTTTTCTAATTGTGTGCATTGCAGTATTTTAAAAGTTTCAAATAATTAGCTCAAAGTAATAACAATACATTGCAAATGGCTAAAAGTAACAAGTATTTGGCTAGAAGTAATGGATAACTGGCTAGAAGTGATGAATAGTTAGCTAAAGGGAACAAACAGTTGACAAAATTAATAAATAATTACCTAAAGTTAATAAATACTTAGCTAAAAATAATAAATAGCTAGCTATAATAATAATAATAATTCATTTTATTTGTATAGCGCTTTTCAAGAACTCATTTGACAATATAGAAATACAGCAAGCAGAAGAAAAAAAAAAACAAAAAACAGTAAATATCGAAATATAGAAGTTACAAATAGTTAGCTAACAGTCAGAAATAGTTAGCTAAAGTAGCTAATCGTTGGCTAGAGCTAGCAAATAGCTAAATGGAACAAACGGTTAAAATTGATAAATATTTGACTTGATATAGCATTTTTAGTTATAAGTAATAAATAATCAGCTAAACAAAACAAACCTTTGGCTAAATGTAGTAAATAGTTAGCTAGTAGTAACAAAGAGTTAGCTAAATCAAACAAACAGCCAGCTTAAAGAAATAAATAGTTAGCTAAAGTTGGCTAAAAGTAATACATACTTCTGTCACTTTCTTTTTATATTTTTTATTTATTTAATTGTTATTTATGTATTACTTAGCTAAAACATTATTTTTTTTACCTATTTAGTAGTTTTAGCTAACCATTTAATTGCTTATTTTGAGCTAACTGTTACTTTTAGCAAACTATTTGTGACTGCTCGCTAACATTCATTATTTCTAATAATAGTAATGATAAACAGCTTAAAACTCACTAACCTTTGCTGCAGGGGTTCCACAAGGAACCATTTTGAGCTCAAAAAGGTCCTTGTCAATAATTTATTTTTATAGATTAAAAAAAGCTGTACCGTCATGTTTACCACAGATACATCACAATCAGTCACTTCATTCTCGCCTCATTTGGCAAGACAGTGAATAAATGTGTCTCCTGAAATTCTTTTGTCTCTTCGCCATTACCGCACTTTTCTTGTTGCACCGCGATGCGGCAGAAATTCCTAACAGGACCCGACATCCTTGACTCGGATGACTGAAATGGAATTGACGTTTCTGACTGAATTTTGAGGAAATTCAAGTCGACACAATGTGATCCCGCTCAGCGAGTGACCGACACAGTAGGCAGGCACAGCAGTGGGGAGGAATCTGTCCCTCACGTCTTGTCCACTCGCATCACAGTCAGCCATCACCATCACCGTTGCCGTGCTGCAGTGTCTTTCTCTATCGTCTTTTCATCTTGTCTGTGTGGTTGCGTGCGGCATGCTTCACATCTATGTCCTGTTTTCTCTCTCTCTCTCTCTCTCTCTCTCTCCCTGCCCCCCCTTTTACTTCTTCTTCTCTTTGTGTTGGATGAGAAGGCGAGTCCTGGGGCGCTCGAGGATGACGGCAAGTTGTCGGTAGGTACTACTGTCTGATTGACACTTTCCCCGTCTGCTTCTGTGTTTGTCCCCGTTTCTGTGTAGACGTACTAGCGTAACTTGTGTTTCTCCCACCACGCTGTGAACGACACATGTGCACCGTTATCTCTAACCTTCAGCCTCCCCCCGTGTGCAGAGAGTTTCCAAAGCCCTTCCCTTTGCGGCATTTCTACGCCCGTACGCGAAAGGCAACGAGGCCTTTCGGCGCTTGAAAGGGCGCGTGGCTTTGATCCGCAATGTAAAGGAAGCAGCAGACGAAGACTCTTCAGGGTCATACCGGGAAGCTGCATCCCCGAGACCTGACACAAACCCTGGCGGTCGGCATGCCTCCCCTGCCTCCCGCTCACACCCATATGGGCCTGTGAATTAGCAGCTGACACCTCCTGTGCCTACGCATCACCTGCGAGCAGCCAAAGGCGGAAACATTCCCAACAGCTGCCACTGGCAACGGCGCCTAATTTCCCACAGTTCTCAAGTTCGGCCTCGACTGCCGGAGTGACCTTGGCAAAGAGGGGTTGTTTTGGGAGAAGGGACTCAGATGCCACCGCGACGCCTGTCTCAACCCGCGGGGCTTATATTTTTAAGAAGCCGCGGTACTTTATGATTTTCAGGTTCCGCTTAGGGGTTTTATGTAAAAGAGGATTAGGGAATCATATGCCAACCAGAAGCATATCTGAAGTTGGTAGAGCATCGTATATTCCTGAGCAAAAAATGTAACACGAATCCTTCTGTCTGTGCTTAACATCATGTAAATTCCCAACAAACAAAGCGCAAAAGTGATCTTTCCTTATTATGTAAAATTGAATAAGCTTACAAAACAGCATGGTTTCCTGCGTCTAGTTAAGTAAGCTTGGATTAGAAATGGCTTTAGCGAAGTGCTCACATTAGATACAGCGAACCATATGCTTCATGAGTATTTACTGGACTTTAAACTAGGAGTAAGCATGACATGCTGAGAATACCGGCAGCGGGATGTTTTGGACTGACACCTTTTTTTTCTCCTCTCACAGGCCAGGCCTCGCCTCCAACGGGGAGGTAGTTCGGCCTCCCTGCACAACAGCTTGATGAGGAACAGCATTTTCCAGCTGATGATTCACACGTTGGACCCTTTAAGTGAAGGTAAGGCGGTCAGACGAGTTGGAAATTGGAAAAAAAAAAAAAATATTCCAAGTTATTAAAGACTGGAACTTCATTCTTATTTCTTGAAATGACCTCAATCTTGTTTTCGATGTATCAGGAACAAATAACAGCACCAAGCGTCCTTATGGTTCTTAAAAGAATTCACACTCCAAATGAAAACATTGGCCTCCGTTCATTCGCAAGCACACCACGTACCACTTCCAATCCAGAAGATCCGCCGCTAACATTTAGAAATGCTTTCCCTGTGTTGTACGCCGAGACTGATTTTCAGGGTAGTCCGTGTGAGACAAGCCGAGCCCGGCGCCGGCTGAGGTGGAAGATCATTTTCCTTTAATCCAAGATGAAGGCCTATTAGCTTAGCTAAAGAAAATGTAAAACGGCTGTGTCAGTGCTCGGCGCAGGGGATGAATATGTTAATGTAGTGTGGGAGGTGCAGTGTCATCCCATTTCCAACCCGCCCAGAGAAAGATAAAGGAAAATCATAACTCCGTGTTTATGGAGCGCAAACTGGCAACGGAAGTCTGAGAAGGATTTTAAAGGTCTTTATTTAGCTTTAAGCATCTCCCAATCCTTAAAGACACACAACAATGTCTATCAGATGATGCCATTTTTACTCCCTCCCTACATAGAACTTAATGTTCAGTGGATGTTGTTTGATAGAAAGCATCAATGGCAAAACAGAACGAAATACCAAACGGGACAAAGCCATTTATAGATAGACATAAAATAACAGTCGGTCCAAATATTTCCCCTCTGGACAGATGTGATCGCATTAGCGGACGTCTGAGGAGGCATTTCAGCTTTCTCTGAAACGATTTTACGTTCCTTGAAAGCCAAACCTAGAATGAGTCAGCTCAGGAAAGATTAATAAGCTGTGCCAAGACGGGCCATAAAGTGCCCATTAACATGCATCAAATCGCTGTTGTACACCGAAATCCAAGGCATCCGTCTCTCGGTGTATCCGTCTTTCCATTTCAGCGATTAGAATGTAAATCGCGGCCGCTCGGCTGTAGGAGGTAGGTCCATACATACTCCACCCTGTCTAGATCTGTCATTTGTTCTCCTTGGAAGACGCCCGACAGGTACCGATGACGAAATGCTTGAAAGTTCAAGATCGATTGTTTTGTGTGTGTGTTTTGATCTCAGTTAAACTTTGAAATATTCTTGTACAAGTTCCGTTTTCATGTGTTAATAAATGCTTTTTTCCAAACGCAGCAGAAACGCGGGGACCAGATTTGACTGATGCGTCTTTTGGCAAATGAGTGACTGGAAATGAATGCGCTGAAACAACAACTACAGTGTGACATGACATGAGGACTGAATTAATTTACCGGAGAGAACAAAAGCAACACTTTGGGCTTCGGCCGATGTGAATGTATTATTTTGAAATCTCCATGTAGCACCTCGGGAAGTTTCTAAAGATATTCCAACAGTTTCATTGGTCCCTTTAAGTTTGACCCCATTCGGAGACGAGACCAGCGACTGCGTTCCGTACGGATGTCATTAAAGGGGCATTTTGTTGGTGAGCTCGCGAGCAGGTGCATCCGTCAGAGATGGAGGCTGTGCTTGCTTGTCCTTGCGTGCTCTCAGGTTTTAAGTGTGGCTCAGCTGGGCCGCGGGGAGCTGGCAGGACTCCATCCATACATTTTTCATAGGCATTTCTCAAAATAAGTCGCCCGCGCCTCCACGCTCAGGGAAAGTCTGAGGTTGTCTCGTCAGTGCCGGGAACTGGTTCACGTGTTTGGGAGCAGGGTTGGCTGGCGGGATGCGAGTGTGTGAGCGTTTTTTTTTTTTTTTCTGGGGTTTTTCCTGACTTCCTCCTGCACCATTCGATCAGCTATCCTTCGATGTTGTTTCATCATCCTTTCACTAGCCTTTGATTGTAGATTTTTTTTTTTTTGGTTGCAGCTGTTTTAAGTTTAAAATCCGTCACGCAGGAAAAACCCTGATTGTGTTTGTGGATGGCTAAAGTGTGCGTGCGTCATCTGTGGTTGTTCACTTTCCTGCCCAGAGATGGATGAGAAGATTGACACCGCTTTGTTAAATATGAAGCCATACAGGCCACCTCCCACGTCGTGTGTAGAAGCTTTTAAAGGTCTTTGTGCTAAGCTAACATGCTTAGCTGACAAACTAAGGAGTTCTTCTCATCCAGCTCTCCGCAAGACAGCACAAATATCAAATAGTGCATTTACGAGCATAACAATGGGCACCTTATCAATTGATTAAATGTTTTGCTATCGAGCTCAATATCACTTGGATTTATCTTGTCTCTGTTTGTCTTCCTATTTCTCTTTCTTTTACTGTCCCTTCAGAATTTGCTGACTCTGGTGAGTTATTCCTCTAATTTCTGTATCCTCCCCCCCGTCCCCCTTTCCTCTCCCTCCAAAAAAACCCCCAAAAAGCAATTTGTTTGTTCTCATTCCAACAGCCTGGAGGCAACTCTCTTGCCCAAAGTGTCCCCTATGTATACATTCTCCTGAGCGCCGCCGTGCTGTATGTCAACTCTGTACTGTCCATCCCTGCAGACTCTCTCTCTCTTTCCTCCAAGTATCTCATTCTCTTCTGTGGATGCATTTTTTCTCCCCCCTTGGAAACCCTCTGTGACCATTTCTGCATTGTTTTCCCCACTTGTCCCTAATCCTCTCTCTCCTCTTGTAAACTCCTTTAGCTTTTATTTTTTGTTGTTGCATTACTTACTGTGAGGGCAGGCGGAGGCCCAACGCCACCGGTTCGGGCTCTCCTGCCTGCGTTGTCCTCGCAGCTATTTAGCAGGAGATGGAGTGTCGTGTCCCAATTCTCTCCACTTGTCAACTTTGTGCTTAGTTCATGAGCTGGTGTCCCGGGAGGGAGGTTGTCAGCTGTTTTCTCGACCCTCTTTAAATCCCCTCCGTCAGACGTCGGAGTCGGTTGCGAGCTTGACAGAGCAATTAGTGTCGACCGGGCTTAAATTTGTTTCAGCTTTTTACACCAAACTGTTATCGATTTAAGCTTTCACTTGCTCTTTTTTTGTTTTGTTTTTTTAAATTTCTTATCTGTATTCAGCATCTAAATGTTGCTTAAGAACAACAGCTTTCTCGTTAACCCTCTGAACCCAAAGCTTTGCTCCTGTCACTTTATTTTACTCGCCATTTTTTTTTACTGCAATGTAAAGTCCTGCACCTCTGTGGAAACAGCATGACGAGGGAGAGAGGGATTTACGAAACGTCCTATGTGCTCGATGATGCAGCTAGAATACCATAAATCATAAATAAGAAAATGAAAAGCTGAATTTATTTGATTAGTTGTGTTAAAAGAAACAACTCTGAAATCCTGGAATCAGTGTGTACTAATTTTCCATGTGTCCACAGGTCTTAACAATACAGCATTTAAAAGAAAAAATCATTTGTACATATTATAAATACTTTACATTTTTGTCTTTATCCAGCTTTTTGTCACGTGGAGGTCTGAATTTTTAGTTTTTCTCCCAAAATCTCTCGAGTGCAAACGTTTTATTTTAATGAGACATGTAGAATAGAGCAGTTTTAATGAAATATCACAGATTTAAGCTTTGATTTGGATATTTTTTTCTCGTGAAACATCCCCAAAGGAGTACGTCAACGACTGCTGAGAAGTTGAAAATCAGATTTGTTTCTACAGGCTGTCATAAACTGTGTAAATTTGGCTTTATTTTTCATTTAAAAGGCTAGATCTGAAGATAGCGCGCTCTCAAACGGCCTGTGGGTTCAAAGGGTTAAAGTGAATGTCCTTCAGTTTAATAATAGAGCTTTAAACCTGCATGTTTTTCATTGGACTGAACATTGTAATAGACTGGTACAGTTAGTTCCAGGCACAAGTACCCGCATCTCTTTTTCCATCAGTGTGGAGCTACAAACAATATCACTTAGGAGTGGCATCAAATATTGAACTACAGAGAGAGATTGGGAGGGAGAAGGGCAGAGTGGCCCTCGCTCTGCTGCCTGAGTCCTCGGCGGACGGCTGAAACAAGCCTCCCAGAGCAGCACTCAGAATTCAGGCTGCGTGCGTGCCGTTGGCACAAGCCCTTCGATAACATTTATCACGCCAGAATTTGAACTCTGCCAGCGAGTCTGTGCGTTTCCACAGCCGAAGTTGACTTCAGGACAGTGGGAGATGACCACAAGTACACCAGCACCAAGCACAATAGCTGCAAACTGGTGAGATTGCATGCATTTTTTATCAACCAAACATGAGGATGAAAGCGGTCACATGTCGCCGTGTGAGTCACATTAATATGGCGGCGCAGGGCTGCAGTCTCTTCGGTTGTTTTCCTGCAGATCATTATCTCCCTGACTGGAAGCATCAGTCAGTGTGGGGCTGCAGACGTCTTCATTGATGTTAGGCCATTTTTATTGAGCGCGCTGACGTCCTCCAGCAGCAGACAAGGTCACTGGGGTGAACCATGATGCACCCATATTGGATAAACTGGGGGCGACTGAAGAGGGCGTGGCTCGCTGGGATGAAACAAAAGAAAAAGGTGCTTGCATTAGGTTCCTAGTTATCTCCTGTATGACTTTCAGTTATTGTGTGAGGGGTAAATCCATTCATCCAACCAGGGCTTCCAGTTTGCACGCACCCCACCAGCAGCGCTGTCTGGACGGTGACCCAGGGCTCCATCGATCACATGGTTCAATAACGCATCCGCTGTCACCGACCTCCCGCCCCTTGGGCAACGAAAATATAGTTTCCATTCGTGCAGATATAATCCTGTTAATTTAGTCTTTTTTTGTGTCGACCAGATGATGATGGAAGCATACGTACTGAAATAGCTGCTGTTGTAATGTGAGGAGACATTCATGAGATAATGTTTCAGGTTCTGCTTTTTTTTAAAGTAGTTGTGATTTTTTTGTTTAAGCGTCTATTTTTAAAACTGCTCATTTGCTTTCTTGCTGAGGGCTGGATGAGGAGATCGATGCCTACAAATGAGACGCCAGTTAGCTTAGCTTAGCATAAAATCAAGAGGATCAGCTCTGTTGGATAATTAGAGCCTCGTATTTAGTTTGGGGTCACTGTACCTCGCCGAGAAGTATTTTTTTTAAATCGTGCACTCGTAAACAAACAAATGCTGCTTTAAAGTGCATTTCTGAAAACCTCATCGCAGCCCTTTTAATATATTTTGATGTGCATTTGAACTCCTTTTTTTCTTTTTTTTTTTTATCAACGCGGCCTCAAAGCCCTGCCCGCCTTAATTTTGTTTTGACAGATAATCACACTTCCAGTTCGTTACGTAACCGCGAGCAGCCAACCAGCGCCTGTCAAGCCATCATCCCTCCGACCACACATGTCACTACCCCCCCCTCCATCCAGCGCCCTCTGAGCCACCCCGCGCCGGGTGGGTGAAAGAATCAATGTTAAAAGCCTTTTTTTGCTTCTGCACAGGCTGTGAATTTCCCCGACACCCCCACCAACCCCCCTCAGCCAACCCCCAGCAGGCAGGCAGGCAGGCAGGCAGGCCGGCCGGGCGGACATGCACACACACGCACTCTGGCACATGGCTCACCAGAGGTTTAGAGGTCACACCGCAAGGACAAGAGGTCCCTTGGTAAACAACAACAAGCCTCTCTCTCTCTCTCTCTCTCTCCAGCTGCAGAGGGCAAACAGGCAGGCAGTGATTGTGTCTTGGGATAATTGCCCTCGGAGCAGCCTCGGCTCCAAGCCGGCCTTCCAGTCGTAGTGCACTTCAAACCGAAATCATCTAATCATACGGGATTGAGGCACTTGTCTGGGAGTGCTGTAGATGAGCGAGACGGTTTTTTTTTTTTTTTGCAATGAGATGTGTTTTTCTCTCATTAGGTTGTGTTTTTCAGGGCTGCCAAGTCTCACATTTGGCATGAGATTTGCACCGTAATCCTCTCACATAAGAGCAGAGTAGTCGCCCACTGTTGGGCAGATATTAGTGCGAGGGATGTGGGAGTACACGGCACATATTGTCCTCTGCACCTCGGGCACGTGTAGAACTACAAATCTGCACTTGTGAAGAGAGCTAATGTTGTCCGTCAGTGCAAATTTCACACAAGAAATATCTGATTTGCTTCGAGAAAAGTGGCCAGAACGGCAGCTTAGAGCAGTCAACGCAGAAATAACATTAACGTGCAGCACAGGAACGCAGATATATCAGTTTTAGGAAGGCTGCTGCTCAACTGCAACTGATTTGGCTGAAAATTTAATCGCATGAAATGTGAAAATTCATAAAGATGTTTGTAAAATTTGAGCTTGAAATATCAAATACTTCTCAGTGTATTGTTTTTTTTTTTATTATTGCCTGCTGAACCACTTTTCAGCGCCATGTTTGAATGACAATATTTCAGAAACCCTTCAAAATAAAAGACTGAGTTTTTTTTTTTTACTGGTATTTCTCATCATGTCATTCATTCAGAATCTTCAATATTGAGCATGAACATCAAATAATCTTTAATTATGAGCTTTAAAATATGAAGCTGTCAAAAGAAATCCCATCTTTGACGACAAATTAGCAAAAAAAAAAGATTATACAGAAGGAAGTCAGTTCTGAGGTACATGTAGTTGCGTTTCAAAGTAAAACAAATTTTAAAAATCTATAAAATGCCATTTATATGAAATGCTTTGTCACAAAAATGAAAAACAAAACATGCATTTTTGTTGTGCTTTGAGAACCGATTGAACAGATGTGACGAGTTGAACCACAAAAACAAATGCATGTATCATCTAATCCGAGCAGAACAGAGCTTTGGACTTTCAAAATAGTTTTCAAAATGTAATTAAGAAAAATAATTCTGTAGTTTTCAGTCACTTCGGACATCATGTATCCAGCTCATTTCATTGCACTACCACTTATTGGAAGGGATGTTTGACAGTAAACTTGAAAGCAGACATTTATTTTGAAAATTGCTTCCACAGATGCAATAGTTTAGGTAATAAATAAGCCAATCAGAGATGGCTGAGCAGAAGCCCGCCTGATGATTTGTGATGAAGTGACCCAACATGTTAATAAAGTCCTAATTAACTCTTTGAACGTGGCATTTGAACAACAACGTATGTTTTAAATGAGGTTTTAAATGAAGCCCAGCGTGTGCAGTGTCTAAAAAATACAAATCCAAGACAGCCTGCGACTCCATCAGCAGCATCACTCACCTTGATGATTCTGTTTGAAACAAGGGGAGAGCATTTTCTAAGAATGGCTCGGATGAAGCAGTGCGTGTTCTTCTGCCTCCGCTTTTGTCGGTGACTTCCATCCACTCAGTGGCGACTGTGTGGCTTCACCAGCCGACCAGAGGGAGGTCTGCTGTGATAACCAGGACACAGTGCCGGCCATGCTTACAGGTTTTATTTCTTTGCTAGGCAGCACTTGCTCACGCTTGCTCGTCGTTTGTCAAAGTCCTTGGCAGGTGGGCTGTGATTAGCATCGTCTGTGGTTTTAGTATGTCGTTTGCTTCTGTCTCTTTATGTCGTCTAAACCCAGACCGACTCCACGGTGTTGATATCAGGACTCTGTCGCTGCCATCTGCTGCAGGACTCCTTGTTGTTGTTGTCACCGAACATACAGAGCCTATAAAAAAGTATTCACCACCCCTCAGAAGCTCTCCCCTGTTCATGCATTTCAGCGCCGATTCATTTTTTGACAACAATTTACAATAAAACACTTTTTCGTATCAAAGTGAAAACAGATGTCAGTTAATGAAAAATATAAAATGTAAAAGAAGTGATTGCATAAGTATTCACTCCCTTTTAAGTAGCTCTTGTTTTCTATCTGGTTTTTGAACTACAGCTAGTCTAGCATTAAGACATGAAAGGAAAGTGGCCTGTGTGTAAATCTATCTAGAGCAGGCCGTCTTCAAATCCTGAATGATCATGTAGGAAGGAGACGAGTGAGGTTGGCCACCAGGACACCGAAGACTCCTCTGAAGGAATCACAAGCCTCAGAGGCTAAAGTGAGAAAGACCCAGGGTCTCCACAGAGCA